AAAAAAAAAAAAAAAAAAGGTCATATGAAAGAAAGAAACGGCCATGTGCCTGACTGAACTGCTAGAAAAAGCAAGCCCGAGTTTCAAATGCAATTACAAACTAGGGCCCTGACTAAACTGCACTTGAAACTCGGGCCCTGACTGAACTGCAATTGAAACTCAGGCCCTGACTAAACTGCTAAAACGCAGTTTCGAATGCAATTACAAACTGTAACCCTGACTGCGCCAGAGTTTTCTCTTTTTTTTAAGAACAACCCGACCGGATGCTAGGTGTGCTGATATGAGCAGACACACCTAGCACCGTCGGGGAGGCTCCATCTATTGGTGGGGAGCAGCACCTGCTGGAAATCGGGTCCAGCGTCCCTTGGATACATCTGTGTAATGCGATGTTTGTTGGGCATATGGCCATTAGAGTTCTTGCTCCAGGAAGGCTGATTTTCCAAATACAGCGGAAGGCCGATTTTCCGAGTAGTATTTGAATGCAGAGCAGAGGCACACAAACAGGAAAGCAGAGTGGCAGGGCATAAAGACTGACCGACTGACAGGCTGACACTGACAGACTAACAGACTGACAGGCAGAGATGCCTGGTGAAATTGTGAATTGCAAAAGCTGGTCTACAATAGCATTTGAAATTTGAATGCAGAGCAGAGAGAGGCTGACAGACTGACAGGCAGAGAGAGACTGTCAGCCTGTCAGTCGGTCAGTCAGTCAGTCAGAGAGAGACACACAGACGGGAACGAAGGACAGTGTCAGGGAGAGAGAGACTGACAGACTGACAGGGAGAGATGCAAGCAACTGATGTCGAATAGTCCAGAGGGCAGACTGACAAGCAGCAGGCAGACTGATAGGCAGCAGACAGACTGACAGGAAAGGAGAGTGGACGGGCGGCAGACTGATCAACTGACAGGCAGAGATGCAGGCACACACTTACCTGTCAGAGTGATATAATGACAGGCAGAGATGCAGGCACACACTTACCTGTCAGAGTGATATAATGACAGGCAGAGATGCAGGCACACACAGGCTGATGTGGAACAGGCAGGCAGGAGTGCTGATGGGTAAACAGGCAGGCAGAGAGAGAGACGGGGACACACGAACAGGCAGGGGGCAGGGCGGCAGGGCTGCGTGAGCATTTGATCGCCGCCCCACACAGACAAGTGGGCAGGCGGACACAAGGACCAGCAGGAGTGCTGACGGGTGGGCAGGCGGGCGGGCTGATAGGCTGGCAGGTGGGCTGACAGGTGGGCAAGCGGGCAGAGAGGCAGCACGAAAGTAGGCCAGTATATAGACAGCTGAGAGGACAGAGATCCAGACTGACAAGCCGGCTGAGAGGCAGGCACTGGTACACAGACTGGGATGGAGCACGCGGACAGACGGGAGGACAGGCACAGGAAAATGGAACACAGGCAGGCACTGGTAAGCTGAGTGGGTGGAGATTTTGTGAGAGGAAAGTGCGTGGAGATTTTGTGAGAACCTAAAACAATGACGGATCGTAGGCACTAACTGGCTGCATTGCCTTTTTTTTTTTTTTTACGTATATTTTTCATGAAACACTTTTTTGGAAGTTTTTCATAAAATGCTTCGCTTGAAATTTTGAATTTTCCATTTAAATTTTAAAATGGGATGCCAGGGATCTCACAATTCAACCCGAAACCAGAAGCACAATAGGCCGAAATGTGGCAAAAAAATGGAAGGCCAAAATGGAGAGGCACCGTAGTGGCACCGGACCTCAACAAAAAAAGGGACCGGATGTACAAGATGCGTCTTGGGGGGAGGGGAGGGGGGCGGGGGACAAAAAACGAGTTATGGGGGGTCCAGCGTTGTGCAAAAAAAAAAAAAAAAAGTCCTCACACACTAAAACTGAGAAAAGGGACTTGCGGGGAAAAAAAAAAGAGGCTCGGCCTAGGCCAAAGAAGTGCAGGCCTTGAAAAAAAGGAAGCGCAGGCCTTGGACACTAAAACTGAGAAAAGGGACTTGCGGGAAAAAAAAAAGAGGCTCAGCCTAGGCCAAACAAGCGCAGGCCTTGGAAAAAAGGAACCTGTGCTATGCCGGACAAGCAAAAAGCCAATGCCACCATAGGCCGAAATACCAACAAAAACGGAAGACCACAATGGAAAGGCACCCTACTGACACCGGAAAAAAAAAAAGGTGGCGCTTGTATACGGCGGATTGTGGGGGCGGCAGGCGGGGGACAAAAATAGGGTTATGGGGGGTTAAGGGCTCGGCAAAAAAACAAGTATCGGACAAAAAAAATTGACGAAAGATTCTTGCAGGATAAGAAAAAAATAAGGCCTTGATGTGACCACCATATCATCGCTCTATTTTCCTTTTTTGGATCGTGGACCGCGATCCACGCTTGATCGCTCTTCGCAACACAGCATTACACCACGATCCACGCTTGATCGCTCTTCGCAACACGGCATTACAAAATCAG